AAATAAAATTATGTTTGTTTAGCTTATGAATGTAGGATGATTTTTAGTGAAAGGGGGTAAAGATCTGCTGTAAGGAGAAAAGCTGAATGAAGCTGAGTGAAATGCAGAGCACTCTCTAGTGGTTAATGTTAAAGCTTCCTCGTCAGTGCTGACATCTTCTCGCTGACTTATTCTGGGTTCTGGATCTTCATGCATGTTAATTGGCCAGGCTAGGGTGATGTAACTTCTGCTCATGTGTACAGGAGTTAATTCATTCCAGCATATGATAGGATTGTACAACGAGCTGCGCATGCTCACTGTACATGCTCAGTGTACACTGTAAAGAGTTTGTGATGAAGAATATAAGAATCCTTTATTACCTCCAGAATTACAATTTCTGTGAAGGGCTCATTAACCTCCATGGCGGTATTCCAGTATCAAGAGCGGAAACCCCGAGCCACACTCGGGGATTGCGCAAAAGTGTCACTTACCTTGTCCCTGCGAGCCCGCTGTGTCATCTGCTGTGTTCACCCGGCCGATGCCAGCATTCGGCTTTCAGTTTCATTTTCGGGCATCACAGCGGGGGCGGAGCCGGCGGGAAATTCAAAAGTGCAAACATGACATTTACACAGAATACACACAATACAATGTAATCTGCTATAATTACACTTATGTATCAAACTATTTCACTTCAATTTTGTCCCTAGAGCTTTGTCCAGTGCCCTGCCTGCACTTTTACTGTACTCTATTGACTGTGGTACGGATCAGGCAGCGCCCCCAGAATTCCCATTTACTGGACTATTTTTTTTATTATTATATTATAATTATTTATTACTCCTACAATATAAAACAACAAATTGCCATGAAAAACAATGTACCGCTTTGGCATGCTAAAATCCTGTATAATCAGACCGCCAGGGAGGTTAAAAAGATTTTTCCCTCATTTTCTGGCCCTTTGACATCATACTGGAAATGGAGGACATAGTCATCACCAGGGACCATAAGGCATAGGTAGCAATAAAAAAAATTGTCATAAGTTTTAACCCATTCTCATTTTCCTAAAAATTATTTGTTTTGTCTGTATCCCGGTGGTTGAAATCTAAGGTGATATATCATCACCTGCACACCATGCTGAAAGGTAAACACAGGACATTTAGGGCATAAAAAGTGATGTTTCGAGGCCATTGATGGCCTTTTCCTCATGCAGTAGTGACAGTGTCATCTGTCATTTCACCATAACACCCACTGGATATGGTTTATTGCTGCATGGAGTGCACTGGATTTGCTCTATACCGGATAGAGAGATTCAATTATTTTTGAAGGGGAATGCATTCAAATAATGATCTTATTGCATATGATAATTAAGGATTTTTTTTTTTGTTCATCTATCTGAACAGCTGTGTTGCCCACCCATTAGAGGATCTAGGTATGGTAGTTCCGAACTGAAGATTTTATCTGTATGTAGGTGTCCTGATGCAGAGGAAGAAAACAATGTGCCAAACACTCTCCTTCATAACTAACTGTTATCGTATATAACATTGAATAATTACGATAATGTCTTTGTTCTATAAGTAAACATAATCTATGTCTTATAGGCTTTTAGAAGTAGAAGAAGAAAAATGATGTCAAGATACCTATAACAACCAATTAGATTTAATCTTTCATCTCTTTAACATATTCTGTTTAATGCCACACGATTTGTAATTGGCTAATATAAACTACAGACATTCCTCGATTTACAATTTACCTGTTTTGCGATCACTGGCACTTACGTCCAGCCTCCGATCTTACGAGCGGCAACGTGGCAGCGGCAGTGCGACGTCTCACCGGCGGAAGTGCTGTACTCCGTTCTTCACTGCGGGTCTCGGTAAGTATTTTATTGCCCGATTTACAGTACACTGTTAAGTACTGTACATCTGCCACACTATACAGTACTGTACTAATACAGTGCAGTACTATATACAGTTCATCGCTTAACGACCAATTCGTTTAACGACCTGGTCGTAGGAACGGAACTCGGTCGCTAAGTGAGGAATACCTGTACTGTGCCTTCTGTATCACAATTTTAGGTGTAACCCCCAACAATTTTTTTTTTGTTTTTGGATAAAGAGGGGAAAATTTAGAACCTATATCTCTAGGTAGAAAGAAGGTGTGTGGAGCTGGATCTAGGGTTGCCACCTGTCCAGGATTCACCCGGACAGTCCGGGTTTTGAATGCTGTGTCCGGTTTTCATGGCAGCAGAAACCCAGACACAAGATGCCAGGTAGACAGAGGCAACCAAAATTAACATAGGGGCTACTAGCCCCCCACTGAAAAATAGTCTCAACTGTGATATTTACATATGAATGGGTAGCACTATTTACATATGAATAATCCACGACTCATTCTCCCATTAAAATGTCTGCGCATCGCTAGAGTGCTTTCGGGTTTCGCTTGAAGAAAAGGTGGCAACCCTAGCTGGATCGTATATTCTAATAGATGTTTCCAGTCAATTGCCTCACAACATGATGGGATTGAATAATACCCTTAGACAACTTTCCCAGGTGTAGTAGCAGAGGGCTGAGTAAAGACTAGATATGCAGGGAGGAAAGTGCCAGAAGTAGATCATGTAAACTGCAGATGTGATTTAATTTGAAGTCTCATACAGAGAAAAGGGGGATTTATCAAAACTTGAGCAGACAAAATCTGGAGCTTGTGGCAACCAATCAGCTTCTCTCTTCGGTTTGTTCAGTTAAGCTTTGAAAATGAAAGGTGGATGCTGATCGGTTGCCATGCACAGCTGCTCCAGATTTTGTCTGCTCCTGTTTTGATAAATTCCCCTTAAAGTGTTGTGGGGCCTCTAAGGGTCCTCCTTCATCAGGAATGCAAATAATACTTGAATATGCTATCAGTGTTCAATATTGTGTGATATATATACAATATAATACCTACAATATAAGTGTAAGGAAATAGAAGTCACCGAATACAAAAAAACATATAGTCTGTACAGCATAAAAATCCTACTAATACATACAGATGTGTACTATGTCAAATTATATAAAAATCATATGAAAAGTATGAATAAAGGTTCTATGAAAACACTATAGGGAATCATAAGATATTTAGGGATGCATTTGTCAAAATTTACAAAAAGACCAAAGTATGAAAAAAGATGGCATAAGTACAATTGGTATAGCCTAGGGTAAGTATTCAGTTATTAAAATTATGCAAAAGAGGGTTAGCCTTTGCAGGCCTCTCTTTAAAATTACATAAATTGCAATTAAATAAGACATTATTGAGTTAGTATATGAATCATGACCAAATAAAGAGCTCTCTAATATACGGTTCTGCACAATAGTATTTAGTTAAGTATACAATGTGATTTGAATGAATTACCTTGGTAGTGCTTTTGAGACGTGTGTACTGGAATAGTAGATTTGGAGTAATCCTGAGGGGCAATTTGTGGAAAAATCAGTATACAGGAGAATAAACTGCGGAGGGGAGAGAAAAAAATGGATAAAGAAACAGTAGAATGCTGAAGGTATAAAATTGGAGATGGCATTGGGGAGGCCAGTTCTAAGGAGTAAAGAGATATAGAAACCATGAAAGTACAGAATAGTGGAAAACTGAAAAGTAAGACCTCTGACTGCAGATAATGGGAGCATAACATAAGCGTATTATAGGAGGAAGTTACAATTAGACAAATAGGAGGGGGAGAAAGGGATAAGATACAATTATATCAAAAGGCAGAAAAGGAGTAAGCAGACCAGTTGACCTTTACACTCAAAAATCAAATTCTACTAATGCATCCCTCTATGTATGATGATTATTAATAATAACACAGACATGTCAGGTGTAAAATGCTGTGATTTTAAAATACTTACACTTGCAGAACATTCACTTCCTGCTTTGAAAGGGAAAAATTACTTCAGTTTGCCAAAGCATTGCATCCTGGGAAGGTTACATCAGCAGAGCATTGCTGGGAAATCTCATTTCAGGGAAAGGCATTTTCCTCCTCTGAGATGATGTGCATGGTCACATGTCCTAGTCACATGTGCCAATTTTTAGGAAGTAAAAGGAGAGCTAGTAATCTGCCCTTAGTTGACATGGCCACTGTCAGAAGACTGGGAAAGAAAAGAGAAAGAATATATGCAAAGAATACAAAGCTGGAGATTATCTAGAAAAATGTGTTTGTAGATTGTCATTACTAAACATTACTAAAGGTGTGTTTGTTGTTATTTTAAAGATTTGGGTAAAGGTCCGCTTTAAATTGAATTTACAAACACCAAGTGTGTTTGATATAGTGTTGAGAATAAGATCCAAATGTATTGAAATGCTGAAGCGGAGAGAAGAGCGAGAATTAATACTAATAAACCAGTGAAAGACTGGTCCATTGGTAGATACTAGTTGAAAGTCGTTATCCTGTACTTTCATGGTATCTATATAACAACTGGCTTCCCTCCTCAATTTAATCTCCACTGATATATCGTCTGCATTCCACTGTGTTCCTTTAGTTTATTCTCATATATATCGAATTGTCCCCTTTGAGCCAATTTTACTAGTCCAGTTCATGCTTCTTAAAGTACTACCAAGGTTATTAATACATACCATATTGTATACTTCACCAGATACCATTGCACACAGACTCACATTAGAGAGTCTAGAGATTTGTATTTGGTAATTATTCATATTCCAATGTAAAATATCTTATTTAATTGCATTAAATAAGTATTATTATTAAGCGAGTCCAACAAACATTGACCCTCTTTTGCATAATTTTAGTAGCCACACACTTACCTAATGTGATATTAAAGTCAAAAGGTTTTTAAGCTATTTCAAATGCTGATGAAATCACTTCCATGCTCTTTGATGTTTAAAAGTTTTAGTTTCCTCCAGAATCAGCTGGTCTCCTGATCACTGGTACTGACTTCCTGTTTTAGAGTGACTCCTTTCTCAAACAGAGTGCTATGCAGTCACCCTTGTGTGTGTTAGTAAGCTGTGTTTGTTTCCACATGTAAAATAATATCATCTGTGTATTTTAGGAACTGGTGTTCTGTGCCAATCAGCCGAACAGTGTCTTGCCAAGTCCAGAATGGCACCTTTTTGCAGAGAGTATACCAGAACTGTCACTGGGCAGCAGGCTGCTCTGGGGGAAGGTGAGAATGGATGACCTAATTTTCTGTTACAATGTTTCTTTCTGATTCTTATTTGTTTTATTGCTTTGCTGTCATGTACATCACTATAGCTCTGACTTTCTTTGTACACAGTATATTCAGCAGTCCGTGTTATAGTTCTCTTTTGTTTTAGTTATAGGACTGTTGTCAGGCCAACCTATAGAGTCAGCTACAAGACAATGACCATTCTGGAGTGGAAATGCTGCCCAGGATACAGAGGGGTAAACTGTGATGATGGTGAGTATCAAGGCTACATGGGGTGACGACAAAGGATAGGTTTTCACTAGATAGTAACACAAGAGTACAAGTCCCATTATCCGTACTTGTGAAACCACACACTACTTACAAATGATGGGCGTATGAGAAACCCACGTACCTGACACTTCTAGTCTGAAAAGTCAGTATCACAGTGAGCCTGTCTATTTTTATGTTATGGTGTTCTTGGGGGCATAATAAGGACAGTCAAAGCTATACTACAAACAGTGGTGTAGAGAAACTCCTCTGGATTCAGCTGCAAACTAGGGCCCTACAACACTTCTCTGTTAGTCAACCATAGGTACAAATTCATCAAATGATATTGACATAGCATTGTGGAAAAAAAAGCCTCCTCAAACACCACTATTCCATTGGTTTAGTGAGACAATAATATACAAGCCTTTTTAGTTTGACACCGAAGTCTATGGGAATGTTAGTAGTTGGTACTGCTTCTCCCTGAGTGGATATGCCACTGACATGTGCTATTTACTAGCAGCTTTAGTCAAAACAAAAAAAATGCTGCATGAAGATGCATGTCAAGTAGAAATCTCATTATTTATCTGTGCATCTATGCAGTGCAGTTTAGTGTGAAATGGAAAACTTTATAGGCCCATTCACACCAATGTGCATTGCCAATGGAACAATGTCAGCCTAACACTTACCCACTCACAGTACTTAACCCCCTAGTCATCCTGTGCTGTGCCAGTTTTTGTGCCAACAGTGTGCAGGTCCCATCCTAAAATCATGCTGCACCAAGATCCCTAAGCGAGGAAAAAAGATAAAAACAACTTCCTACAAGACAGTGTGTACTCACAAGGCTTCAGGAACACACCTGAGAGCTTGTGTCTACTGAGAGTATTGGACCTTAGAAAATTCCTGCAACATGCTTATAAACCATTACATTATTTCAATAATTATACCAAATTAAACATGTTTTTGAAAATTGTATTGTATTGTGACTGTATTTTATGTTTTTATGTTTACAATTGCAATAATAGAGTTGCATAATTTTGAATGTGAGAATTTGTCATTACCTTGGGTTATCCAAGTGTTATAGGCCATTAGGTAGATTTGCTTTGTTTTCAGAGACTCCATCGATGAGCTTTCTCTGCAGTAGATTGTGCCTCCGTCTTTCCACAAGGCCATAACAACCAAGTTGTTCTCTCTCAGTTGGATTCTCCAGTTGCCTGTGTGTTGTACGTTATGGAGAACCCACCGTAAGATCATGACACCATCATTTGGCCACAACAGTGGGACCTAAATGGAAAATATGGTTGTAATTTCAGTGTCGAGGATACAGTAAAAGAAGCTAGGATTTGATTCAGTTTGTCTGTAGTCAGATATTGATTTTGTGTGGAGTCAGCCTAAAATAAGGGCTGTAGTGTTGTACTAAAAGAGGATGATAACACTGCTTCCAGTCCCCTGTACTATTGTGGGTGTGTAGTCCATTTCTTTGCAGCATCTGTGTCTTTTCCTGCCTGTGACAGAAGGAAGATGTAAATCTACAGCAGTTCTAAGATTATTTCGGTCTTTGTGACCTGTGCCTCTCTAGCTGGATCTCACACAGTGCTTCATAACAAACACAGTGAATAGATCTAGCATCTTGTGGGGGGGAGTAGCCAGTGAAAGGTGCAGGAAGGATGGTAAGAAAAATGACAAACAGGAACTTCCATTATAAATGTATTTAAACACAAACAGTTGTTGAAGTTAGTTATAAATAAACTGTGAGAAGAGCCAAGGCAAGCTGGAGCGTGAACACCCTGTCATAGTGAGTAAAGCTTGTAAAATATAAATGGTACTACGTTTCCTGCTTCTGTCAATGAATGATAACTCTGCTTTGGGTGGGCTGCATTCAGTCACCCACCTCCTTATTCATTTCCTGTTTTTAAATAGTGCCAACATATTACGTAGCAGTTTACATAGAACCATTCACATCAGTCCCTGTTCTCTCAAATGGAGCTCACAATTTAATATTTCTATGATACAAGTAGACATTTTAGGAAGAAGTCAATTAAACTACCAATGTCAAAGTAAGGCACTGCAGACTGGGTGAAAGATTAAAACTCTAATGCAGGTTTCAAACCTAAGTCATAGAGCTGCAGGAGTGCCAACCTTTTTTTATGAATTGTAAGGACCCAAAGAAAAGATTTGTGCAAAGGTTCCTTCTACCAGTGACCCTGATAAATATATAAAGCTAGTGGCTGTTGTAATTTGAAAGGTCAGTCTAACCAATATACTCAAAAATACAGTCCAATGAGAGTGCCAAACAAGACAGTACGAGAGTCTGAAAATGTTTAATAATAGCCCAGATAGCAAGCAATTGAGCTGCAAGTTTGAAAATGACATGCTAAAGTATTGCAGACTTGCCAAGCGTCACAATGTTGTTGCACAATTACAGCAAGTCTGCATTGCAGGTCTCCAGACCAGCGAGCTTTGCAAAAGTGCTGTACACTTGCAGAGCTCTTGCTAAGACCTGCAGGACTATTGCTGTAGACTTGCCAAGCACATTTGCTACAAATTCAAAAAGTGTCAACTAGAACTTGTGCTGCAAGTGTTCTGCAAGTCTACAACTTGCCAGGGAATGTGTGCAGCAAGTTAACAAGAATTACAATTTAACCCTGCCACAAGTTTGTGGCAAGTTATCCTTGCTATCTGGGAGAATGGATTCATAAATGACAACACAGAACAGCCAATGCGTTTTGGGGGTTCAAAGACCTCCACTTTCTTCAGGGATGATAGGTAGATTATGGACTCAAAACTGGTACAAATCACCAGTGATTAATTACTTGCTGTGTACGGTAGAGCCAACATCAGCAAAATTTCCTAACCAATATATCAGTTTTGGTTAAATAAGTCCCTTAATATGAGGATTAAAGAGAATATTCATGCACACTTTGGAAGAAAACCTGCACCTTTTGATGAAAGTATCGGCAAAAAAAATTATTTGTCTGGTTATATTTCTACATCAAGGCCACTGGTTGTCCTTCACTGTAATCTTAGTATGGTGGTAACATTTATCTTATCTTGAGGTATGGTTCATTAGTACCACTTCTATGTAGGGATCAATGCTAGCTTTGAAAAGGGGCTGACAGCAGTAAAGTTATCCATAGACATTTTAGAAAAGTTGGCTTTTCCACATCCAGTGACTGATGGATATCAACCAAAAATCTAATGGTCTGGTTTCATGTATTTCAAGAACAATTTCAGATATTGTTGTTACTCCAGTCTGATAGTCTTTTGCAGGAGTGTGAGCATGCATTTGTTATGGGAGAATGTGCATTTAGAGCAAACATCCATACAGGCATACAAATGAACAATTGTACAGCAATGGCACGTTTTAGAAGGAATGTTTGCTAATATTAAAATCACTCTTGCCGATTACTACTTTTTTTCAAATCGGATGATACATTTTAGCTGACACATATATATTGTGTAGCCTCATGTCTATATTAGATTATAAGTATATATTGTGCTTAATATACAGAGCTTTAACACTAGCCAAAGATGTGACTTTAATTTTCAGATCTTATTGGACTCAACTGAAAATAATACAATTTTGAAAATAAGGATACTTGAGGCCTGTGTTGATGGGTGGGTCAGGTGAGTTTTGCATTCCCATACAGTTCTATAGGAATGGCAAACCCACTTGAAGCAGGCCAACTGCAGGTCAGAAGGGGGTCAACTGCAAGTCAGAAGGAGACCAACTGCCGGTCAAATACACCTGTCAATGAATTCTAAAAGATCTCAAAAGCATCTAAAACTGATGTCAAACTGATGCCATCAGCACAAGCCCAAAGGCTGTTGACACCTTAACCAATTGTCTGTTATGTCTGCAGCTGCTCCAAAAAAGCACTTTATGAACACTCATCCATGTAAAACTCATGTTTCCTATGTGTGCCCTACAGTATTGTTTGTTTCTTTTTTCTGTCATGCAATAGTATACCTTTTATGAAAGTGATATTTGAGGCTTCCACTGTTGGCCTCCTTCTGTTAGAATTATTGAAGCTAGACTTCCAGGCAAATGAGTCAGAGACCTGGAGCAAGCATACAGCAAATGAAACTTTAATAAAGTCAGAATTCCATATGTCTATACTTGTTTTACATGCTACATGTCTCACAGCACAGCAACTGGTGATGCCAAATGTGGATTGTCTTTCAGTTTGAACAGAGAACACAGATTCTGTGAAGTTGGCAAGAGTAATGTCTTCTCTTTTTATGCCTTGGACACTTTTGCATTTGTGTTATATCCATGAACACCACAACAATGTGCATTGTATGGGCATTGCTATTCCTTTTCAGTGGCCCTGCAAGCAAATATAAGCGTCCTTGTCTCTCAGCACGCCTGAACATATGTATTAAAGAACATATGCTGCCTTGCAGTGGGGTGGAAATAATTGAGATAGGTACATTTTTTGGTCCATTAGAAGGTTTGTGCAAGTGTGAATGAGACCTTAAAGAAGAACTCTGGAAATTTAAAAAACTTACCCTTACAGTGAGGCTACCCCCTGCTCTCAAAAGTTAAAAGAGAACTGTGGGGTAATCTGTTTATGCCATAGTTCTCTTTAGGGTCACGGGAGGATATATGCGAACCTCCTCCCGTGACCCAAAGCTCACTATATAGTGAGCTAGGATTTGCTGGTGACATTTCTGCAATTATCTATATACTGAGAGTTCCGCAGCCGGGACGGATCCCGACAGTACTGTTGAGATCCACCCATATGGCTGATTGACAGCGGGCTCTGTCTATCTAGAGGCAGAGCCAGCTGTGCCTGCCCGTTCCTCTAGTCAGTGCTGGAGGATCGGAGAGGGGAGGGGGAATCCCTGCGGGGAGCGGTGACTGACAGTCACTGCTCTCTGCAGGGAGATGATCGGGAATTGAGCAAGCCGTGGTATGTGTTCGCTCACTTCCCGATCAATAGAGCCGACATGTGACCGTTTCAGCTTCTTCTGACCTGTGCTTCGGCACTCTAAGGACTGCTTTT